TGACATTGGCTCCGATACGAGTAGTGTGGACGACCCGAGTACTAGCAGCGGGGATGGTACCAGGCGGGGTTTTGCTGCCTCAGCAACACATCGAGGCAGACGGCAGCGTGTCTCACAGCATGACGACAGTGGGCCCTCAACATCACATGTTCGTGGTAGGCATACGGTACGTAAATCTGCCTCAGCGCCAAGCATACTCTCACACAGCTCCAGCAGCAACAGCAAACGAAGTAGCTATGGTTTTGGTGCTCGTGGTGGTGTTGGCCGTGGTGTTGGCGCCAACACCAAACCCATTGGTGTACTTGTGTGGGAGGATTGCACCACATTTGTCCCTCAAATACCAACGATATTATTTGGAGGCCGTGCAGTTAAGGGGTTAACATGCGCCAAACTCAGAGATGAATCTTCAACGTGCGGAAAATCCTGAGGTGACCCTCGAACGTGAAGCAAACCCAGTGGTAACCCTCTAAAGTGCCCCAAACCCAGAAATGAATATCCAACGTGCGCCAATCCCAGAGGTGACCTTCCGACGGGGGACAAATCTAGAGATGACCCTCCAACTTCTGCCAAACCCAAAGCTAACACCCACAAAGTACTACAAACCCAGAGGTGACCCTCCCTCGGGCGCCAAACCCAAAGGTGACCCTTCAACGTGCGGAAAACTCTGAGATGAACCTCCATTGTGCGGCAGACGAAGAGGTGACCCTCCAACGTACGGTACTCCCAGAGGTGACCCTCCAACGTGCTGCAAACTCTGAGTTGACTCTCCAACGTGCGGCAAACACCGAGGTGACGCTCCAACGGGCGCCAAACCCAAAGCTGACCCTTCAATGTGTGGCAATCCCAGAAGTGACCCCTCCAACATGATGCAAAATGCAGAAGTGACCCCTGTCCCCGTGGCAAACCCAGAGGTGACCCCTCCAACGTTCGTAAAACCTCAGGTGAACCTCCATCGTGCACGAAACACCGAATTGACCTTCCAACTTGCGACAAACCCAGAGGTGACTCTTCAACGTCCAGCAATTCCATATCCTGGAAACACAAACCGAAATTGTCTCTATTTTCCGCTTGTTACAACTTGTAATAAAGTTGTTCCATCTTGGCTTAACGTGTTTATGACGTATTAGAACGTTATTACAACTTGCTATATTGGTTGTTATAACTGGTTAGGAGGTGTTACAACTTGTTCGAACGTTGTACCAACGTCGTAGTTTCGGTGTGTGTTTGGCGGGATATAAGTTACCCTCCAATGTGCAGCAAACCCTGAGGTGATCTTCCAACGTGTGGCAAACCCAGAGGTGAACCTCCAATGTGCTGCAAACACAGAGGAGACCTTGAAATGTGCGTCAAACCCAGAGATGACCCCTTCAACGTGTGGAAAACTTAGAGGTAACCCTCAAACATGTGCCAAACTCGGAGATGATCCTCCAAAATGCGGCAAACCCAGGGGTGACCCTCCAACGTGCTGTAAACTCAGAGGGGACCCTCCAACGTGCAGCAAACCCAGAGGTGACCATCCAATATGAGCCAAATCCAGAGGTGACCCTTCAACGTGCGGTAAACAGAGACGTGACCTTCCAACGTGCGGAAAACCCAGAGATGACTCTCCATCGTGCGCCAAACTCAAAGGTGACCCTCTAACGTGCGGCAAACCCAGAGGTGACCCTCCAACTTGCGGCAAACCCAAAGGTGACCCTGCAACATGCGTCGAACCCAGAGATGTCCCTTTCAACGTGCGGCAAACTCTTCGGTGACCCTCCAACATGCGCCAAACCCACAAGTGATTGTCCAACGTGCGTCAAACCCAAAGATGACCCCTTCAACGTGCTGCAAATTCTGAGGTAACCCTCGAACGTGCTGTAAACCCAGAGGTGGCTCTCCAACACGAGGTAAATTCAAAGGTGACCCTTAAACGTGCTACAAACCCTGACGTGACTCTCCCACGTGCAGTAAAACCAGAGGGGACTCTCCAACGTGCGCAAAACCTAGTGATGACCCTCCAACGTGCGGCAAACACAAAGATGATTCTCCAGCGAGCGTCAAAGCCAAATGTGATCCTTCAACATGCGGGAAACCCAGAGGTAACCCTCCAACGTGCGCCAAACCTAGTGATGACCCTCCAACGTGCGGTAAATCCAAAGGTTACCCTCCAACGACCGCCAAACACAGAGGTGACCCTCCAACGTTCAGGAAAGCCACAGGTGACCCTCCAACGTGCGGCAAACCCAGAGGTGACCCTCCAAAGTGCGTCAAACCCAGAGGTGACCCTCCACCGTGTGGCAAACCCATAGTTGAGTCTTCAACGTACAACACTCCAAGAGTTTAACTTCCAATGTAAGAAACCCAGAGGAGATCCTCCAACGTGCAGCAAGCCCAGAGGTAACCCTCCAACGGACGGCAAGACCAGAGGTGACCCTCCAACGTACGGCAAGACCAGAGGTGACTCTCCAACGTTCGGCAAGACCAGAGGTGACCCACCAACGTACGGCAAGACCAGAGGTGACCCTCCAACGTACGGCAAGACCAGAGGTGACCATCCAACGTTCGGCAAGACCAGAGGTGACCCTCCAACGTTCGACAAAACCAGAGGTGACCCGCCAATGTGCGGCAAATACAAAGGTGGCCCTCCAACGTGTGCCAAACCCCCGAGGTGACTGTCGGAAAATCCGACACCATTTAATAATCATACAGATAATAGCTGTATTGTATAAACAAGTTACCCATAGAAAACGTAACTTGTAGTGGAATTACCGTCTAAAGAAAACGGGATATCATCACCACATACTATTATAATTCACCACCTATTATGGTGGGAATTATTCTTAAATACATTAGTCTTTGGACTTTACCATCATAAAAACATCTTATATAAATTAACTTAATTATCAATATTAAAGTAGAGTAAATGTGACCCTTCTATCACTTTCTGAAATCTGGACAATGTAAGCCAGGCGTCAGAGTGAGGAAGGAGGGCAGCCATTGTTGTTTATTGAGACCAGAGGCTCACACGGGAGCAAATTCGGCTTCTGTTAATTTTACTTGGACGTAGTGTTATGGAAACCAAAGGTGTACCATTTTCAACACGCTGTCTACAAATTCAAGTTAAGTGTTCTTTCCGAAACCCATGTATCTTCATTTATGGCCATTAATGTCATTATATAGGGTGACCCGGTTAGAGCACGTGGAAGCCTCAAACTAAAGGTAATTAAGCCAGGTCTTCAATGTTCCATGTACAGTTTTCTCTGATATAGCTTGTCATATATAGGATTCTGGCTTCACAGCTAGCGCACTTTTGACAGGTCAAGACGAGGAAGATTTGTGCACCAGTTACTGGGTGATATGGAAGCTACCTCAAAGAGGATAATTTGGTGTCTACACCCTAGTTATACCTGGTGGACTAACCTGCTGTACTATAAGATAAGGAACCTCTTCAATGTATGTAGTCTAATTCTGTAGTTTGATTGGCTGCATATATATAAACTAATAAACCCCCCCTAATGTGTAGAGGATCGATTTGTGAGATTGAGATTATTGCAGAAATACAGTCCACTTATCATTATACAAATTGCTATCGAAGTATATAAATTAACGTAAATATAAATTCATATAAATTAAATAAATATAAATCTCACAGGTCGGTTCCCACAATATTTGGTCATCTTCGAACCGGATGACGGATTATTTGATCCTTTGAACCCACATTTGGTCATCTTAGTACCGGATGAACCAGTTAACCAGTGGATTCATTAAATATACTAGTGCAGTGTTATTTAAACAAAGCCAGTCAAAGATAGCGGCGTTGCCTCGAGGGAGCTCAGGAGCCTCCCTCAGCCCAGATCAGCTTCGTCAGCGGTTTCATGCACACCCACAGATTTGGTGGCGTGTTATTCTGTGAAATGACAGCGCTAATATAGAAGCCAGCCAAATTAGTGACTATGTCGCGAGATTGTTCACGGATTTCGTGGTGTTACATTTCGCGAGAGATTATCTACGAATTTTGTGGAGTTTATTTCGCGAGGTCACTAATAATATTTAATACTTCTTGATAATATTAGAAGTTTCATAGAGGCTAATTAAGAGGCTATTATCAATAATTGTGTATATTATTTCTCCAAAATAGAGAATTATTTAATATATATTGCACTAGTGATCACAGTATAATATTTACTAATTGCCAACCCACAACAGGGTAGGATATTACCATTGACTAGTTGAACTATTATTGTTCATCCTAGTCCCATTATTACTATAGTCAGTTGTACTATATTGAACAACCTAGCACCATTAATGAATGGTCCAGACCCTATTTTGGGTGTATTTTTTATCAACTCGAATTGAGTTGTATATATAATAATTTACTTATGATCATTACACCTTTGAGTGATTAATTAGTGTCTCTACCATCCTAGGGTGATATAGAAGAGCTAACCTAAAGGTACTTCAAGTGACACTGGTTTATCACTCAAATCATTAGTGTGGATGATTGTATATATATAATGTGTATTAATTTTAAGTGCTAACCTCTAGTAGAGGTAGGATTATTGCCTAGTGAGTTCAGAATTTACCCTAGGCTACCATTAGTGTTTGTTCAGTATTATGAGCAGCCCAAGTACAAGCCCCACAAGGCTTCACCAACTAGCCAGTATGGATAATGCAGGGAGAATGAAAAGAACCCTTGCAGGTCTTAAAGGCCACTTAACAAGACAGATCAAGAAATGTGAAGATTTGTCACAACAATCAACAGTTGATTATGCTGACCTGGAAAGCTATTATCAAGCAGCTGCAGGTAAATTTGAGCAAATCAAATGCCAAATAGCAACATATGTGGCTGAACTTGCCAACACTAATTTATCAGAAACAGAAATAGACGACATTATGGTTGATCTTGCGAATTATGAAGATCAGACTCAAGCCACATTACAGCCTTATGTCAAATTAATTGCCCAGAACAAGGCAACAGCAACAACAACAACAGTTGCATCTAATACGAGTCAAGCAGAAGCTCGACTCCCTCCAATTAATTTACCCACTTTCTCAGGAAAAGATGAGGAAGATTGGGACGAATTTTGGAACAAATTCGTTGACCTTGTAGACTCAAAACAATCTTTACCAAAGAGTAGTAAATTCTCTTATTTGCAAGGCCAATTATCAGGTGAGGCTAAAACAGTAGTATCCCATCTGAGATTAACTAATGACGGCTATGATCTGGCAGTAAAACTCCTCAAGGATAATTATGCTGATCCAGAAGTAAGAACATCACATTTAGTTCATGAGCTGTTGCATTTACCTCCACCGGAGGCTTCAGCTGACTCACTCCAAGTCTTCAAGCTGGAGGTAGAATCATTGATCAATGCCCTCAGCCTGACAGCAGATACAAACGGGGCTGAGTGGGTCTTGAAAATAATTGTCCAGGAGAAAATACCTAGGGACATATTGAGACAAATGAGTGCTCATTACAATAAAAGCATCTTATCCATGAATGAAATATCTGAAGGTTTAAAGTCAGTAGTTCATCAATTACGAACACATGACAAATTAAAACCACCAAGTAAACCCTCAGAAACCAATAATAGTAAACCACAGAGTACCAAAGGTACTCCAAATCAATCTAGACAATATAATTCAACACCAAAGTGGAACAGTGGCAGTGTGTGCGTATATGCAGTGGGACCCTCCAAGCCTATAGTTACTGTGTCACCCAAGAACGTGACACCAAAGGGTACTGGAAGCTATGGAACATGTTTGTTCTGCAATGAGAAACATTCAATGTACCACTGCCCTAATTTTCCTGATAGTGACGCCCGTGTTGAGCGACTCAAAGATTTGCAACATTGCACGAGGTGCCTCAGGAAACATAACATCAACGACTGTGAGACCCAATTGCACACCTGTAACAGGTGTAGAAGAGGTAGGCACCATGCAGCACTGTGTAAATATACGAAATTAACGTATTCAAGACCCAAGGTGGAAGATAGCATTCCCACCACAGTACAGTACTGCAAGCCAGTGCAACAAACAAAGAGTGTCCAATCGGCAAAGTCTAAAGGTAATACGACTTTGCCTACTGCCCAAATTACCATCCTGAATAAGAGGGCCAAGGTCCATACCCGTGGGTTGTTTGACCAAGGATCCAGAGAACATATATCACTAAAAAGTTGGCAGATGAACTACAATTAAGGCCTGTAGCCCAGATGTCATTCAACATCTCAGGGTTTGTAACAGATGCAGGACCTCAAGTCTACCAGGTGGTACAACCATCAGTACGCTTAGGCAGGTACGTCTGTCGAGTACAAGCCATTGTGGTGGACAAAATACCAGTAGACCTACAAGTTCAAGGTCTGCGAGCAACAGCCAAATTCCTGAGAAATAGAGGAATAAAATTGGCAGATAATATTAAGTCTGATCACCTCACCGACTTCGATCTCCTTGTAGGGACAGACTATTGTCATCGATTCATCGGTAGCCCTACTAAATATCAGGGTATAACCATGTTAAACTCTGCAGGAGGTAAATTACTCTCAGGCCCAGTATCAAACCTGAGGAGACCTATGCCTGCAGATAAACAATACCAATAGAAATCTAAATTTGTCAGCTGATTATATTTCTCCAGTAGCATTATACTAAGGAGATTACAGCTGACTATACCAACAGAGGTTGATGTTAGTATCATCATTTGAAGCTGAAGATGAGTTCATGAGGCCTCAGTGGCAAATCAGTGAACAGTAGCCTAAAACAGCTACAAGTCACTGCGACCAATGTCACTGATCCCACTGCAGTCTCAGAAACATACTTTACTTTAATGATGAGCTATTCATCTTCTGAATCAATTAATTAAATTAAACCCCAATAAATCTGATGACTGATTTGATACATTTATTATTTAATCAAGATGTATTCCATGGGCCTCAGTGTTTATATATCAGTGACCAGTTACCTGAAGAAACTTCAAGTTATATCTAATGTCACTGATCTCACTGCAGTCCCTGAATCATACTTGACTGTAGTACTTGATCACATCCAGTCTTCTGGGTTAAATAATAAGTAATAAGGCTTGAATATTAGCCTTTCAAGAGTTGACAGGGAAATGAAATCGCATTAGACTTCTAACCCCTGCAACTCTAGTACGGGACATCCGTCCTGTATGAACAGACACACAAATGTGTGATTACTAACTACTAACATAATTCAAATAATCAAATAATTCGAAGGAGGAGTATCGGTGTTCGTCTGTTCTAAAGAGGACTTCGACCCGTGAGCAGCCCCCTGGGGAATTATGTCGGAAAATCCGACACCATTTAATAATCATACAGATAATAGCTGTATTGTATAAACAAGTTACCCATAGAAAACGTAACTTGTAGTGGAATTACCGTCTAAAGAAAACGGAATATCATCACCACATACTATTATAATTCACCACCTATTATGGTGGGAATTATTCTTAAATACATTAGTCTTTGGACTTTACCATCATAAAAACATCTTATATAAATTAACTTAATTATCAATATTAAAGTAGAGTAAATGTGACCCTTCTATCACTTTCTGAAATCTGGACAATGTAAGCCAGGCGTCAGAGTGAGGAAGGAGGGCAGCCATTGTTGTTTATTGAGACCAGAGGCTCACACGGGAGCAAATTCGGCTTCTGTTAATTTTACTTGGACGTAGTGTTATGGAAACCAAAGGTGTACCATTTTCAACACGCTGTCTACAAATTCAAGTTAAGTGTTCTTTCCGAAACCCATGTATCTTCATTTATGGTCATTAATGCAACCCGTTCTCGCAAATTTAATAAGTCAATATTGACTTATTAAATATGTGCATAGGTGACATACTTAACATAATAGATACCCTTAAAAAGATTCATAGAAAACACCGACCTTACCTAACCTTGTTAGTATCTTAAGATAAGCATCTTATTGCTTCGTAATTACAATTATTACCTAACCTATAATAGGTATAGGTTAAGTAATAATTGTAATTACGAAGCAATAAGATGCTTATCTTAAGATACTAACAAGGTTAGGTAAGGTCGGTGTTTTCTATGAATCTTTTTAAGGGTATCTTTTATGTTTAGTATATCACCTATGCACGTAGTTAATAAGTCAATATTGACTTTACGAATTTGCGAGAACGGGTTGCATTAATGTCATTATATAGGGTGATCCGGTTAGAGCACGTGGAAGCCTCAAACTAAAGGTAATTAAGCCAGGTCTTCAATGTTCCATGTACAGTTTTCTCTGATATAGCTTGTCATATATAGGATTCTGGCTTCACAGCTAGCGCACTTTTGACAGGTCAAGACGAGGAAGATTTGTGCACCAGTTACTGGGTGATATGGAAGCTACCTCAAAGAGGATAATTTGGTGTCTACACCCTAGTTATACCTGGTGGACTAACCTGCTGTACTATAAGATAAGGAACCTCTTCAATGTATGTAGTCTAATTCTGTAGTTTGATTGGCTGCATATATATAAACTAATAAACCCCCCCTAATGTGTAGAGGATCGATTTGTGAGATTGAGATTATTGCAGAAATACAGTCCACTTATCATTATACAAATTGCTATCGAAGTATATAAATTAACGTAAATATAAATTCATATAAATTAAATAAATATAAATCTCATAGGTCGGTTCCCACAGTGACCCTCCAACGGGCGCCAATACCAGAAGTAACCCTTCATCGAATGGCAAACTCAACTCAAACGTACGCCAAAATTAGAGGTGTCCCTTGAACGTGCGGCTAGCCCAGAGGTGACCCTCCAACATTCGGCAAACCCAGAAGTGACACCTAAAAAGTACGCCAAACCTCAGGTGACCCTCCAACTTGCGGCAAACCTTGAAAGGACCCTCCAACGTTCGCCAAACTCAGAGGTGACCCTCCAACATTCGCCAAACACAGAGGTGACCATCCAACGTGCGGCTTTCCCAAAGATGACCCTTCAACGTGTGGCAAACCAAGAGGTGACCCTCCAACATTCTGCAAACGTTGCCCTTCAACGTGCACCAAATTCCGAAGTGAGCTTCCAAAGTGAGGCAAAGTTACAGGTGACCCTCCATCGTACGCTAAACCCAAAGGAAACCCTCCAACATGCAACAAACCCAGAGGTGATCCTCCAACGTGCGCAAAGCCAAAAGATGGCCCTCCAACGTGCGGGAAACCCAGAAACTACCTTTCAACGTGCACAAAATTAAGAGGTGACCCTCCAACGTGCACCAAACCCAGGGGTGACCCTCCAACATATGGTAAAACCAAGAGGTGACCATCCAACTTGCGCCAAATCAGTTTAGGTAAGTTACATTAGGTGGAGGAGGTTAGGTAGGTGAGTGTAGATAAGTTATGTTACATGATGTAAGTTAAGTTAGTAAGTTATGTTTGGCGGTTAGGTTAGGATGGGTAATTTATATTAAGGTAGTAGGGTTAGGTTAGGTTATGTAAGTTAGGTTAAGTAATGTAAGTTAAGTTAGTAAGTTGAGTTATAGAAGTTACATTAGGTAGGAGAGAAATAGGTTAGATTATATTAAGCAAGAAAGGTTAGGTTAAGTTATATTAGTAAAGCTACGTTTTGCTAAGCTATGTAAGGTTAGGTTATTTTAGGTTATGTTAGGTAAGTTATGTTAAGTAAGTAAAGTTAGCATTGGTTAGGTTATGGAAGTCAAGTTAGGTTAAGTAAGATACATTAAGTTAGTGAGGTTATGACAGGTTAGGTTATGTAAGTTAAGTTAAGTTAGGTAATGTAAGTTAAGTTTAGTTAAGTTAGGTTAGGTTAAGTTGGGATAGGTAAATTACGTTACATAACCCAACCTGCGGCAAACTCAGAGATGACCCTCTTATTTGCAACAAACCCAAAAGTGACTCTCCAAAGTGCGGCGTTTTCCCCGTAAGAAACCTTTAAGTCCAAATGAGTGTTTGGTGATTTTTGTCTCCTATTTCCCCATAAGAAACCTTTAATTCCAAATCGGTAAGTGACAAAGTTTACCTGGAACCCCCACATTTTAAACATGACTTTTCAAAAAACGAAATATTGGGTTTTCGGCGTTTACTGCCTACTACTGTAGTGAGGTGCGGTATGTGTTGTGATGTACAGATGTGAGGTGAGGTGAAGAATGTGTTGAGAGGTGCAGCATGTTTTGTGAGTTGCGGTATGTGTTTTGAGGTGAGATATTTTGTGAGGTGCAGCATGTGTTGTGATGGGAGGTATGTGTTGTGAGAAGAGGTATTTGTTTTGAGGTGCGGTATGCGTTGGGAGGTGCAGCAGGTTTTGTAAGGTGAGGTATGTGTTGTGAGGTGAGGTATGTGTGGTGAGGTGCGGTGTGTGTTATGAGGAGCAGCAGGTAGTGTGTGGTGTGGTATGTGTTGTGAAGTGCAGCAGATGTTGCAAGGTGTGGCATGTGATTTGAGGTGCAGAGGTGTTGTGAGGTGCGGTATGTGTTGTGAGGTGCGGTATGTGTTGTGAGGTGCGGTATATGTTGTGAGGTGCGGTATGTGTTGTGAGGTGCGGTATGTGTTGTGAGGTGCGGTATGTGTTGTGAGGTGCGGTATGTGTTGTGAGGTGCGGTATATGTTGTGAGGTGCGGTATGTGTTGTGAGGTGCGGTATGTGTTGTGAGGTGCGGTATGTGTTGTGAGGTGCGGTATATGTTGTGAGGTGCGGTATATGTTGTGAGGTGCGGTATGTGTTGTGAGGTGCGGTATGTGTTGTGAGGTGCGGTATATGTTGTGAGGTGCGGTATGTGTTGTGAGGTGCGGTATGTGTTGTGAGGTGCGGTATGTGTTGTGAGGTGCGGTATATGTTGTGAGGTGCGGTATGTGTTGTGAGGTGCGGTATGTGTTGTGAGGTGCGGTATGTATTGTGAGGTGCGGTATATGTTGTGAGGTGCGGTATGTGTTATGAGGAGCAGCAGGTAGTGTGTGGTGTGGTATGTGTTGTGAGGTGCGGTATGTATTGTGAGGTGCGGTATATGTTGTGAGGTGCGGTATGTGTTGTGAGGTGCGGTATGTGTTGTGAGGTGCGGTATGTGTTGTGAGGTGCGGTATATGTTGTGAGGTGCGGTATGTGTTGTGAGGTGCGGTATGTGTTGTGAGGTGCGGTATGTGTTGTGAGGTGCGGTATGTGTTGTGAGGTGCGGTATGTGTTGTGAGGTGCGGTATGTGTTGTGAGGTGCGGTATATGTTGTGAGGTGCGGTATGTGTTGTGAGGTGCGGTATGTGTTGTGAGGTGCGGTATGTGTTGTGAGGTGCGGTATGTGTTGTGAGGTGCGGTATGTGTTGTGAGGTGCGGTATGTGTTGTGAGGTGCGGTATATGTTGTGAGGTGCGGTATGTGTTGTGAGGTGCGGTATATGTTGTGAGGTGCGGTATGTGTTGTGAGGTGCGGTATATGTTGTGAGGTGCGGTATGTGTTGTGAGGTGCGGTATGTGTTGTGAGGTGCAGTATATGTTGTGAGGTGCTGTATGTTGCCTGGTTGATACCTGGTTGATGGGGTTCTGGGAGTTCTTCTACTCCCCAAGCCCGGCCCGAGGCCAGGCTTGACTTGTGAGAGTTTGGTCCACCAGGCTGTTGCTTGGAGCGGCCCGCAGGCCCACATAACCACCCCAGTCCCATAGGGTTGTGAGTGACATCCTGTTATTTTATGTCACATGGCTAGTATTGATTCATTATTATTTTTCTAGTTGTTGAAGTGAATATGCGGTATCATTTTTTGCTGAAGATGCCAAGCATCCTATAGTGTCTCTGTGTATGAGTCAGCATGCAGTCCTGGGTGAACTTAGGATACTATCCAATACTGCACTTGCCGACGCCACTCGATAATGGTAAGTGTCGGTGTCTAGCATGTTTGGGGTAATGCTGTTGAGTATATTCCAATTTTAGAGAAAATAATATTTTATTTTAAAGTTAAAGATTTAACTCTATTATTACTTTAATTTTTCCATAATTACTTTACTAGTACGATAATATTACATAATTTTGTGAAAATACAAAATTTGTATGTGATTAAGTACCTTTTCACTGAAGTCCTCGATACAGACAAAAATCTTTAAGCATTTTCTTTAAGCTTCGGGCAAACATTTGAAACCTAAGATACGAGAAATCTTATCTAAACTCTGCGTCAAATACACTTTATATTCACTTTTTTCTCTGCCTTGCGTTCATTACTTAAACAAGATAAAATGTACAAATCAGCTTTAGGTCTCAATAATACTTAAGCGTTAAGCAAGATGAACCACTGTTTATTAGGGTGTTGAAGCTGTTAATGTATGCCCATAAAAAAAAACTTATTCAGATTTTTTTTATTTATTAAATAAATACTAAGTAGAATAACTCACAGATATACCTTAATATATTGGAGAAAGTAACTTCGTAAAGTTCGCTCTGTTAAAATGTTTTGAGATCTATCATGTCTATATAACATTTTTGCTTTTCGATCCCAGAAGGTCCAAGTGATTAGGCCTCGTTTTCCACCCCATACTTTCGCGTCTTGCAGGGTCGGTGTTCGATCCCCAAAGGTCCAAGTTGTTGAGCACCATTTCTTCACTCCGTCCTCACATCCCAGCACATCCTAGTGTCCCTTCCAAGAGTTATATATTCATACTGGCCTGGCGCTTTCACCTCATCATTTTCTTACCTGACCTTACATCCTCTTCTCATAAAGATTGATTTTCCTTCCCGGCTATTTCCTTCACACGCCTCAATTGTCAGTTGAAAACGTATGGTGAGGTGGATGAATGTATGACTGCTGAGTTCATTACGCAGGAAGCGTCATGGTCAGACTGGCAGGTCGAACCCGGTGTTTACGCGGTCACCAGTTCGACTTCCTCTTCCACGTTTCCTTTTTTTCATATATTGCCCAAATAATACATTAGTTGGAATTATTCAGTCCTATACGTATCAATTATTTTATCTCCTTTCATATATTCTCACTTTTAATATATTTATTCCAACATCTTTTAAATATCTATTTATCACATTTAAATTATTTCTTTAATCATTATTTAATCACATTTTTAGATGCTTAATCACTTGTGTTTATACACTTAATCATCGTTAATAACTAGTCAATTGCATATAATTTATTTTTCCTTCCCCTTTTTGTTTATTTAATTATTTTTTTTTATAACTTAGATAAAAGGTGATGGTAAATTAACAACCTTTTGAATCTTTTATATATTTTAATAAACATATTAGCAATGAACAATTTATATCATGCAAGAATACAACGTTTAATGCGTGATGGGAAAACGAGTTGAGTTTTGCACCACATTGCTAACGTCTTATGAGTGTTGAAACACAACAATAACATGTTGTGAGTGAGGCTGCGATTCAAAACAGGGGTTAACGTATTGTAAGTGTTACAACACATAAAAGCCAATTTGTGAGTGTTGCAACACAGAAATGATGTTCGGTAACTTTTGCACACATAAATTATAAATTATGAGTGTTGTGTTACATCATTTCAATACATGATTAGTGTGGTTTAATGGACAGGTATAATGTGTTCCGAGTAATTCATCACACAAATAATGTGTTTGACAGATGCCACTCAAGGATATTATCTGGTGAGTGTTGCAACAATGCAGCACATAAATTACGTGATGCAACACTCACAGTATATTATTTTTATATTACAACATTCACCAAAAAATATTTTTGTCCTGTTTTGCAACACATACACCACATTATATCTGTGTTGCAACACTCGTAACAACGCATTCCTGTATTTCAACGCACATAAAAC